GATCCGGAGTCGAGTTGCGTGTGAACTCTGAGTCGAACGTGTAAGTGTGGGCGCCCAGCGCCATAGTCAACTGAAGTAAACTTGGATTTGAGTTGAGTTGCAAGCTACCATATCTCCGAGTTTGAGTTGGGTGCACAGCGCCAAGTTATTCTCATCTGTTGCATGCATATTTGAGTGTGAATTTGCAAGACTGATTTCACTACCCTGCTCCCTGCCGTCCCTAGTTCATCAGTAGGACAACCCTGTTCACCGGTACCAAACCCTGTTCCCTCTTACTCCCGCAGCCCATGCCACCCACATTATACCCTTCTTCCCTTTCGACTTGCTAACCAGTGATCGGCCCCGTCCCGTCCTTCACAGATTTCAGCATTGCTTCATGATTTTTGGCAGCGGGGACGTTGCCTTCTAGAGGGAGGGGATAGTGTTACGGACTACACCAGGGCTCGATCCCTGGTCCGCAGGACGCTACCCGCAGTTCACTGCACACATTTTCTTTTCTTTGTTTTTCTTATTTTTATTTTTCTCTTTGTTTTATTTTTCTGATTTGGGACACTTGGCGCCATCTTTCGATTTTCAGTTCAGCCCTGGGCAAATTGCACTTCTGCCCATCGGACTGAACTTGAGTCCGATACTTAAGATCGGACCCAAGCCCAGTATGGGCATTCAGTTTGCGGCCTCAGTGCTTGTGCTTCGGTGTGACTTGCCTTGACATTGTGTTCGGAAATCCAAGACTTCGACTTTGCGACTTTGCCATTTTTTGTCTGCGTCCGTCGAGTCGTGTCAAGTCGGCGTCGAGTTGAGTGAGTGTGTGTGTGTGCGCTCACTCTCTCCCTCTCTCTCCCAGCCTCGTTGCCTTGCCTCTGCCTCAGCCTAGTCACAGTAGGCCCAACTCGGGCCTTCCAGATTCAGCGCCTAGCAAGGTGATGAAGATGGGGTCCACCATAGCCAGGTAAGTACCCCGCCACTCTCCTCCCTAGTCCCCTTCTTCCTCCTCCTCATACCTGGGGTCTTCCTCCATAGCCAGGGAGGTCACCCAGGCGCTCCTCCTCCCAGGCAGCGCTAGTAGAGCAGTGCTCCTTCCAGCAGCGCTCTGAAGTCCAGCGCCCGCTCAAGCAGCATGATGCCCAAACTTGCATACCGCAAATAAGGAGGATCACTTCGCTCTTCCTGCAGATATAGCGGCCTACCTGCCTCTTGGGTGGTGACTTCCAGGCCGCGCGGCCTCCAAGCAACTGGCACCCCCTCCCTTTCAGAGGAAACATCATTGCAGGCTCTGATATCTTCCGCATAGGCCCTAGACTCAGGCTACTTGGACCTAGCCTTTTTTGTTTTGTTTTGTTTTAATCAGCACCGAAATTCCGTGCTTTCTCAGGCAAAGTGAGTGAACCAGACTTCTGACACTGCAGATGGCGTTGCTGCCATTGCATGTTTTTATTTTCCTGTCCACCTGGTGGGCTGCTGCTGCATGTGTGCTGCTACAGAGTGCAGAACGCCTGCAGCCCAATTCTGCAGGTGACCTACAAGAAAGAAAGCTCAGTGGTCGAGATGAGGAGAGGGCTTGCCGCCCCCGACCCCCACTGTTTCTTCCCCACCGCTGGCCGCCTCACCTGCATCTTCTGCTACACCATCTCCTCCTTCTACCACCCCCCCTCCTTCATCTTCCTCCCATTCAGCACCGTCATTATCGTCAACACACTCATGGTCAGATCCATAGTCACATGCGCTTCTTCAGTGTAGATATTCTCCATGGAGAGGCGGGTGATGGAGGCCTCAATTTTAAGACAACTTCTCATGCCATTTATAACAACATCCAAGGGCCATTTCAACCAAACTTGCCACCAATTCATAGAGTGGAGATCATATTAACTACTTACAAAAAAAGACATGAAAAAAGAACTTAAAAAAACTATAAAACAGCACGGCAAAAGTGCACTTTCATGAAATTTTGCCAACATTCCAATTTCAGAATTCTTGAGAAACCAGCTACTGGGCCTCTAAAAATACCAACTTTTTGTCTTCTTCTGCTCGGCTTCTGGTTCCCGACACATCTACCGCTACTTGAGTGGTACCGGCCTACCTGCTACTTGAGTGTTTTTCCCCGCTGCCCTAAGTGTCGCGGGCCTACTCCCTGCTACTTGAGTGTTTTCACCACTGCAACCCTCAAAGTCATGGCCACAGGTAAGTAACGGCCCCAGTGGGCCTGCCAAACAAACAATTGCCCTGGCGGGCCACACACACACTCAGACCGATAAGCACTCAGACAGGCACACGAACCAGCAAGCACGCACACACACACAGACTTAGAAAACTCAGCAGAATGCGGGAATCTCAGCAAGGCATTCATTCCAGCGGCAAAAACTCAGAAATAAGCAGTGTTCGCAGTCTGTGTTTTGGCGGGTCATTACAGTATTATGGATGGTTTGTGATGATTTGCGGATGGAATGAGCGAGAGAGCTTGAGGCTCTTTGAAAGCACTGACACACACACACACACACACACACTGATACACACACACACACACACACACACACACACGCACACACACACACACACACACACACACACACACACATCGTCGCTTTCAGTATACACTAGCGAGGAATCGTGCACATCGAGTCCGATGCCCCATTGTGGCGATGATTTCTTCAGTGCTGCAGGCTTACGAGTGCACCAGACACGAGGTGCAGCTACTTGTGCAGCGTTTGCACAGCTAGCAGCCGTCCTGAGCGAAAGTGAGGCTGATCAGCTTCCGATTCCCACATCTGGTCCACCCAGTTCTCACCCACCTGACCCACCCCTCTCTCACCCACCTAGCCCCACTCGCTCCCCTGCCCCAAATGACAATGGCCCATCTCCTGATTACCTGACGGAGCCCCCGGTTGAAGATCATCTCTCTCCGGAGCACATACCGGAGCCAATTGGTCAAGACCACAATGAGTCTCTGCCACCTGGGCAACCTGCAGAATCGAACGAGGATCCCCCTGCCGTAAACGGATCCCCCACGCAACCAGCGGAATCAGACAATGTCATAGCGCTACAGCGAGGGCGCCGTGCGTACTATGCCATTAATCTATGTCTCCTTGCTTACAATTGTAATCCTTATACTGTTGCTGATTTCGCAGATGTCGCTCGCTGGATAGAAGAAGAGCACTGTGCCATCTGCCCAGACGACAACAGCGCTGCGCCCGGGGTGAACATAGAAGTCCTGGCTATGGCATTTATGGGTAGGCGACTGCAATTCCAGCCTGCTCCGCAAAACCATGAGCCAGGCACGGATCTGAATACTCGGGCATATATCTTATATCGTCCAGGTCACTTCAATGCTCTTACCTTTGCAGATAATTCATGGACCCTATGTGACAATGGCGGTAGGGTGCACACAGTGGGAAATATTAACTCTTTCTATCACCAAATGCTGGAGGGTCACTCAGTCTGGCTCATCCATCAGGAACAGTATGCCGATGAGCATTTGCAAGCACTGCACCCCCCGGAGAGCAATCCGGCTGATTCGATCACAAACAGTTGTGTCGTCGCACAGGTACAGTTCAGTTGGCATGTACACGACATAGCCTCTGCTTCGAACACTATGAAGCATACTTGCAAGCGCACGTCATGCGGGCGGTTCCTTACGTGCGGCGCACGCGCCCAACCGATCCCGTGTGGCGCACGACGTGTGCGGCGAACGACCCGTCACCCCCCTCAGAAAAAAAACAAAAGGCCGGGATCGAAACGGTGCGTTTGAGGCCCCACGCCAAAATTATAAGCGAGATGAAAAAAGAATCACAGGAGTACTGCCTCACCTTGCTCCTCCTTCCCTTCCTCATCCTCCATGTCTCCTCCTCCCTTCTCCTTTTCGTCTCCTCCTCCTCCTCCTCCTGTCCGTCCTCCTCCTCCTGCCCTTCCTCATCCTCCTTGTCTCCTCCTCCTCCTTGTACTTCCTCATCTTCAATGCCTCCTCGTCTCCTTCCCTTCCTCGTGTCCTCCCCTTCCTTGCCGTCCATGTCTCCTCCTCCTCCCACTCGTCCTCCTCCTCCTGCCCTTCCTCTTTTCCCTCCGTCCATCTCTTCTCCTCCCCCATCTCGACTCCTCCTCCTCGTCATCCTCCTCGTCCACATCCTCCTCCTCTCTCCATATCCCCCTCTCCTCGCCATATCCCCATGTTCCTGTCATACGCCCCCCAATCCCCCTTCCAAAAAAGATAGAATAATAATAATAAAAATAAAAAACCTGCACGATTCCGCACAGGCACCCCCCGCACGGAACTCCGCACGAATGTGCAGCTCGTGCGGTTGCAAGTATGCTATGAAGGGATGGTTGCTGCGAGCCTCTCACATGAAAAGTGTGATCCCCAGTCCTGTGCTCATCCCCCCACCCCCTGATTACTTGCCTAGCATGCCGTTGTGGCCTTGATCTGCCATGCTTAAATAACTGTGTACGTCAGCCTTCCATACTAATGACATGTCAGCAACATGCCATGTGTGGTCAATGCTTCCAGGAAGCTGTCATAGAAAGTATGTGTCTTTACTGCGTGGACTATCCCCGGTGCCATCACCCTCCACATCCTCTCCTAGCATGTCCCACATGCAGTATTGGTCATACACCTACGGCAACCGCTGACGGATCTCCCCCTTTCTTGCAAGACGAACGACGAACACAGCAGTCCGAGGAGGAGAATAGACTTCTATATGAACCACCGACAGAGCGATGTGCTCATAGTTTATCACCGCCAGGGCGAGCTGTTGCGGATCATATCCTGCAGCAGCCGAATGCCCTTGCGTTGGACTGATCCTCTCTGTTGTCGTCTGCCCATAGAGAAGGAAATTCAAGGAATAAATACTGAGGAAGCCCAAGAAAGATGCTCCATGCCGTTTTGTGATGACCCGCCAGAGATTCGACTAGCATGTGGTTCACATGCCTTGTGCCGTGAGGATTATGAAGGTATAGTCCATGCGAGTTTTTGCTTCCATACATACGATGACAGTCAGTACTGTACTCATGTATGGCACCCCGACATGTCATGTCCAATTTGTAGACAGGGGCCGGAACGGCAATGCCTCTATAATTGCGGTCGACGTGACTCTGTGTTCCTAGCATGTACGAGCCACGTAGCCTGTGACATCTGTCTGCGCCGTGCCATTCGATGCAGCAACTGTGACTGCGAAAATTGGATGCGGTGCTTCCATAGCCCACACCCGAACCGGTCCTGTCTGGTCTGTAGGGGTGGCCACTCGCCATAGTTAGTGTTTTTTTTTTGTTTTGTTTTTTTTAATATTTAGAAATCTGTGAAACCCGCCATACACCTTTCCCCTGCTCTTTGCATGTCATACTCTATCCTGCCCTCCACATATTTCTTTCCTTCCCATTGCCCCTACCTCCCCTGCCCCATACTCCTAGAGAACTCTGCCTTCTATCCCTTACCCTCCAACCTCCCCTCCACTCCCTTTTCACTACTAACAAATACATACGAATAAGCATCATTAAGAGAATAGACGATATGAATATCAGAAATGAAATGAAAAGAAGTATGAAGATGAAGGACGGACACAAAGACTGTATAAGCTGAAGATCTGAAGTGAAATGAACAGGAGTATGAAGCTCTGAAGAGTATGAAGCTCTGAAGAGATGCACAGGAGCATACCTTCCCTTTTACTCTGCCCCCTGAAGTAACGTGCAAGTGGGCTGTGTTACATCTTCGATGCCAGACGGGTCCTACCAGACCCGACTTAGGGCCAAGGGGACACAGTAGGGCCTAAAGGCCCAGACTTGGGGGTACAGCAGGCCGAAAGGCCGCATTTTGGACCAGACCCGACGGGCAGGCCCAGAACGACACTACCGTTTGGGCCTGGCGGCGCTCTTGAGGCTGCCGCCCGCCGGTCTGATCTGAACCGACGATCTCAACGGTTCAGGTCACGGCCAGGCCTCGCAGCATTGAGGCTGGCCCCGTTTCACCGGTACTAAAGACCGGTCCAGCCTCATTGTGAGGCATCGAGCAACTGGACGCTGAGAGAGCGCCAGTTCGTTTCGGTTCTACAGCAGGAGCGCCAGCGCTATTCTTAGCGCAGCATAGAGGAGCAGCAGCAGCAGCGAGCGAGGAGCCAGACAGCGAGCAGCCATAGCCGACTTCGGCTTCAGGCAGTTGCGGTAAACCAGGTACTCGGGGGTGAGG